ATATTTTGTACATGCAACTTGGATAATTGTGTAAACACATTTACCAAATTTGCCCCCAACTCAGAAACTCTGAGCTTAAAGGGGTCATAGGATGCTACATGCACTTTTACAAGTTGTTTGAACTGAAATGTGTGTTGGCAGTGTGTGTACACAACCACACTATAATGATAAAAATCCACCCAGTGTTTTTTTTTAATGTGATTAAATGTTCTCCCCTTTCTCAAATCGACCCGATCTCATATGCCTGTCTGTGTGACGTCACAAAAACAGGCCCCTCCCACGATAGTTTGATTGACAGTAGCGTTTCAGCACAGACTGGACTGGCGTCTTACCTCAGACCCACCCTGAGTGAGCTGTCATCAGTACGCCATTGTTTCACCGCCGGAGCAGATGTAGACAAGAATGACTCCTAAGCAATTGAGGTGTTCTGTTGTTGGATGTAATAATGAACATAGCAGTCGTCATTTACTCCCGACATCTGAGCCGCTGAACTCGCAGTGGATTACATTTGTTTCTGAAGGGAATGCGCCCCCGATTTACATAAATGCGTTTATGTTCGCACGAATCATTCCTGATTCAGTCTCATCTACAGAAGAAGTGAGTATGTTTTGTAATGAATCTTTGCAAATCACCTTTCCTAATAATGTGCTAATTAGCAAGTTTCATGATGAATGCGGCTAAAGTAAGCAGTCTCTCTGAGAGCAGCTCAGAAGAGAGGGGAGGGGTAAGCAGAGCTCATTAACATTTAAAGGAAAATGCTACAAAAAACGGCTTGATCTGAAAAGAGCTGTTTTTGACAGGGTAAAAAAGGTGTTTTTACACTACCATTGAGAAATTTTAACCAAACTATGTTACAGACTTTTCATTAAGACCCTAAAGAATCATATCAACTTGTGGAAAATGGACATCCTATGACCCCTTTAAAGTTTCCCACTTATAATTACAACTTTGTTGTGTTGTTCATCTGCATTCAACTTTAAATACAATCTTTCTGCCATGACATGAACACACCTTGAGATTCAGGATGATAACCAAACTATGTTACAGACTTTTCATTAAGACCCTAAAGAATCATATCAACTTGTGGAAAATGGGCATCCTATGACCCCTTTAAAGTTTCCCACTTATAATTACAACTTTGTTGTGTTGTTCATCTGCATTCAACTTTTAAATACAATATTTCTGCCATGACATGAACACACCTTGAGATTCAGGATGAAGGCAGTTGCATTTAGGTGAAATCTGAGAGCACAAGTAGTGTGATACTATGAGTTATGAAAGTAGCACCGGTTTCAGTTACTAAAATATTTGGCCACCGAATGCTGTGATTGCCCTGTCAGAATCATGGGGGGCATTTGCTGGTCATGCCCTCAAACAGGTTATTATGAATCGCCCACTTTTTATGCACTAACCAACTGCGATGAATAAAATCAACATAAATTTCCTAGCTGAATATCTTGTTCCATTCATAAATGCATTACATTATTGTAGTAAAACTTTGGCTTGCTAATGTTTCATGTTGTCCTAAAGCCTCCGGACATTAGTGTGTTTCCGTGTCTGTTATTAAAGGTGTTTGGGCAGAGGGAACCCACAGTGTGATGTTTCCTAATTGAATACCCTGCAGCATGGGGTGAAAGCAGCACCTGCCAGCCCCGGTTAAGCTTGTTATGGTCTGTTGCTGACATTTGAACATTTTGGGGGATGTGTGTTTTAATGAGCCAGTTATGACTGCAATATAAATGAGCAGATTCTGTTGGCGCTGTCGGTTTTGACTCCTTTAATGAAACAGTAGAGACGTCTGTGTGTTGAGATTGGGTCTGTGTGAATAGTAAATGCTTCAGTCAGGTGAATGCTACTGCTGGATCCTCTCATGGACTGCAATGAAGAATCCATGATCATAAATATAACTGCTGTGCTCAGCATCAGCCCCATTAGCTAGCAAATGGCTGTGGAACAAGCAAGAAGCAAACAGTCATGAATTAAACAGGAAAGAATCCAAGCTGCAGCCAAGAGCAAGAATTATCCCACAATACCCAGAAAATTTGTTTTTCATTACATGGGTAATTTCAATACCTAGAAAGCTCATTTTTTTAATTTGAGTGCGCTTTTTCTCCCTCACAAACAAGTTCTGTAATTATACTCCATAAATCTCCCTTTTCATATTCATGTTTTTGCCTTTGCCTGAACTGACCTGAAGCGCCGCTGCTGTTTTTTCTCTGTTCTGCATCTAACTGGGTCAGTCTCTCACCTCAGTTTGAGGCCATTGGTGGCCATGTTTGGTATTCTGTTAAATTCAGTTTGAGACCAGATGTTTTCTCTAGAAACCTCATCCAAGTCTTTATCACCCACAACTCTCTGTGAATGTGGGTCACAGTCCAAACGAAACTATAATGAGTTAGGAGTTATGAAGGAAATGACTTGTGCACAGTATTTAGTTAGAGTTCTGCGGCAGTAATGATGCTGTTTGAATACAAATTTTGAAGGTGAAGTGTGTCATTTTTTAATGTAAAAATACTTTGTGTCTAATATGCAAAGATTGCAGGAGATTCTGCATAAAATTACTTTCTGTGGTTTGGTTATGCTATACATTTATGTTAAAATGGTTGGTGTTCTCTGCATGTTTATTTTGTATATAAAAATTCATGACGTACATATAGACAAAAAGGCAAGACAACATGAAAATCAGTAACAAATTCAAATCATTTCTATAATTGCTTGTCCAAAATACATATTAGAAGTACAAACAACACATTACAGTAAGCTAACACAAAAATTTAAACGATGGTTTTAAACTTTTCCCAAGTTCGAGTATATTTATTTAGCAACTTAATGGCTTGCAGTATGAATGATCGCTTTGCTCCATTTTTGCAATATTCTGGCATCTTAAAGCTTCAGCCTGAGGGGAAAAACTGCTGTTCTGAAACGAGTGGGTGCCTGCAAACTGCTTCTGTGCTTTGCTGTGAGATCTAGATTTATGTATTTGCTCAAGGTCACACAAGGCAGTTTGCTGTGGTGTGATGTTGTATATGGATGTTTTATTACCTTTAATGCAGGCATGTTCACATCTCTGTGACATCTGAGTCCAAATCAAATCTGAAGTCTTGTTTCAGAAGTCAAGTCTCAAATTCCATGTGGTAATAGTTTTACAAGCCTTTTCACATGGCAATGTCATGCATTTTTAGGATTTTCCTTGTTTATTACATTATATTGATCTAAAAGAACATTTATAATGTTTTACAAATCTTTAATACCATTCACATTTTTAAATGAGTGTTTATTTTATTGCCTAGGTGGCAAGTAAGGGGCCAGTTACCTTAAAAAATAAACAATGAACAATGTTTATGTGTTTATTCTTCTGTAAATGTCCACTCAGTAGGAAAGTTTTGTTGTCCCTATAGTAAATGGATGTAACTACCACTCTAAATGTGCCCCCATGATGTGTAGTTACCTGTATTTATACCTTAAGCATCAGATGATGCTTTATGTGGAAAAATGTTTGTTGTGTGCTATTTTTGTCCTATCCTCCATGCTAAGGAATATGGCATCAAATGACCATGACAGAGAGTGTCCAGAGAACACATTATTGTCAGATTATTCCAAAAATAAACTTTTGGAGCCAAACATGTCATGTGTCTCGAGTCAGTTATTTGTGAATCTAAGTCTCATGCCAATTTTAGTGTGATTAAAGTGTGGCTTTGTGAATCTGAGACTCCTTGAATTTATAATCACAATGTCCTTGTGAAAAATAAGGATACTTAATTGTATTGAATCTGCACTTGTAGTGTACTTCAAAGTATTTTTTTATAAAACTGTACTTGCAGATAATATTAATGAAATAAAAGGCCACTTAAGTGTGAGACGCTTTCATGACTGTTTCTTAAAGTAAAATGCACGTTGTGATAAATTAAAATGTTTATTTATAGTACATTTTAAATCATTGTTTTAATAATCTTTTGTCATGCTTTAAAGAAGTGCACTTGTTTTGATATGCTGACTAATATACTGACTAATAATCACATGTAAAGTGATGATAGATTAAGATTATAATTTTAACTCTAGTGTTTTTTGATATTACATTTAAAGTTAATATATTTTAAAAGTACTCAATTGCCATTTCATCATTACAAATGTGTAATGACAAGTATATTTAAAGGGTTAGTTCACCCAAAAATGAAAATGCTGTTATTAATTACTCACCCTTATGTCGTTCTAAACCCATAAATCCTTCGTCCATCTTCAGAACACAAATTAAGATATTTTTGATGAAATCCGAGAGCTCTCTGACCCTCCCATAGACGGCAAGGATCCTTATACGATCAAGGCACAGAAACGTAGCAAGGAGATCGGTAAAATAATCCATGTGACATCAATGGTTCAACCGTAATTTTACGAAGCTACGAGAATACTTTTTGTACGCGAATATGTTTTCTACGTTGTTTACGCTTTGATTTGAACGAAAACAACGAATCCGTGTGATGCAGCTGACACAGAACAGCATACGCTGTTTACGTTCAGTGGATAGTCTCCAAAATGGCACCAGGGTGATGCGGAGGAGACGAATTGTTGAATAAAGTCGTTATTTTAGTTTTCTTTGTGTACAAAAAGTATTCTCGTAGCTTCGTAAAATTACGGTTAAACCCCTGATGTCACATTGATTATTTTACCAATCTCCTTGCTACGTCTCTGGACCTTGATCGTGGTAATTACATTGCTGTCTATGGGAGAGTCAGAGAGCTCTTGGAATGCATCAAAAATATCTTAATTAGTGTTCCGAAGATGAACGAAGGTCTTACGGGTTTGGAACGACACGAGGGTGAGTAAATAATGACAGAAAATTTTAATTTTTGGGTGAACTATCCCTTTAAATACATGATATACAAGTTTCGGTATAAATGACATTCATGTATATTTTAGATTACAATAAATGCTTGTCAGTATAAATGCTGATTGCTAAAGTGACTTTGCTAAAGTGATCTAATGCTCTGTCTCTGTCTCTTTCAGTGTCCCCAGTACTTGCGGGTTTTCTGGGTGCGGGGGTCTTGGTCGTCTCCGTGACGGTGGCCGTTTTCCTCTGGACGTGCTGTCAGCGGCGATATCGTCAAATGACAGGCGCGTACAAGCTGACCAGCGGCCCCTACGACCCACCCATTGACCCCCCCTACAAGTTCATCCACATGCTCAAAGGCATCAGCATCTACCCCGAGACCCTCAGCAACAGCAAGAAGATCGTACGGGTGGGCCGGCGCTCAGGATCGGGCTCCCTGTTGAGAGAATGGGGTCGTGGGTCCCGAAACGGCGACGTGCTTCTTGTGGATGCGGATCCTGAAGGTGGTACCCCACACCTTCAGATGAACCACTTGGTACCTCCTGTGGGACCTCCCAGACTGGAGAGGTCGCTGCCCATCCGGGCCGACTACTGCTGTATGGAGAGCAGCTCTGGCAGCAGCAGCGAAGCACCCAGTAAGACGGCGTCGCCCCACAGTCTCGACTCCCCCTCTCTGGGAACGCTTAGTTTGGCCATCGACTACAACTTCCCCAAGAAGGCCCTTGTCGTGACCATCGTAGGAGTGCAGGGGCTCCCCGCGGTGGA